CCTTTGCTTTACAGAAGCTTCTCAGTCTCAGGAGGTCCCATTTATTCAATGAGGCCCTTAGTGTCTGTGCTGCTGGGGTTATACGTAGGAAGTGGTCTCCTGTGCCCACGTGTTGTAGAGTACTTCCCACTTTCTCTTCAATCAGGTTCAGTGTGTTTGGACTGATATTGAGGTCTTTAATCCACTTGGACTTGAGTTTTGTGCATGGTGATAGATATGGGTCTATTTTCATTCTTCTACAGATTGACATCCAGTTTTGCCAGCACAATTTGTTGAATTGATGTTTTTTAAAAAGCAGTAAATCAAGTCCTACTAAACTTCACACCTGTGACTCTCACAACTTGTATTGGGAGAATTTGGTTGGAGAATGGGGAGGTGAAGACTAGGTCCCTTTGTTTTTTTTTTTTTTTTTTTTACATTAGAGTGAGTACAGTTTAGGAAACAGAGGCAGAGACCCACATCGGAGCACTGAACTGATCTCCCAAAGTTCAGTTGAAGAGTGCAAGGAGTGAGTATATGAGCAAAAAGGTGAAGACCTTGATGGGTTCACCCACTGAAACAGTCTACCTGAGCTAATGGGAGCTCACCAACTTCAATCGGACTGGAAAGGAACAAGCATAGGACCAAGCTAGTCTCTCTGAATGTGTGAATGTGGTTGACAGTTGCATGGCTGGGGCAGAGTGAGAGGCCACTGGCAGTGGCACCAGGATTTATCCCTACTGCATGTACTGGCCTGTTTGGGATCCTATTCTCTTTGGATAGATACCTTGCTCAGCCTATATAGTAGGGAGGGCCTTGATCCTTCCTCAAAGCAATGTGCCTTACCCTTTCTGAGGATGGGAGGGGGGGGGGGGGGGGGGGGGGATAAGTGGAAGGAGTGGGAGGAGGGGAAGGAGTGGAAACTTGGATTGGTATGTATAATGAAAAAAGATAGTTTTTTTTAAAAATAAATAAATGAATGAATACTAAAAAAACAAAAATACCAAACAAAAAGGAAGAAAGAAAGAAAGAAAGAAAGAAAGAAAGAAAGAAAGAAAGAAAGAAAGAAAAGGAAATGAACCTCCTTTTCTTTTGTTGGGAAAATGAAATGTTATCGTTTGTTTTGGAAATACAAATTATTTAAACGGCACAGAATGCTTATCAAAACACATGACTGGTTTTCATAGAGACAGTGGTCCTGTTAGTTATTTCTGTTATTTGCTTAATTGATTGATTGATCCGTGCCTTCATTCATGCGCCTCATATCTCAAGCATGGTCCTAATTTGTGAGACAATCAAAGGAAGTAAACAGACCTGATTCTCATCCTCTTGTATGTTTTGATGTGAGATACTCTAGTGAGTTTACTCTTAAATATGCAGCAAAGGATTAGGAACCAAGCTGGAGGATTCGGTGGAACTAGCATAGTACTAAGAACAAAATTGATGGCTCCATGGTCACCTCTCAGTGACAGTCCTAACCCCCTCTGAGACTAAGAAGGGTACTGAGCTATGATGACCCTCAAGTTTTCCTCCTCCTTGAGTCCTGTTCTTTGAGTGATAACTGCATGAATTACTGTTCTCAGGCTACTGTGTCTGCACATGGTAAAGTAGACTGCCTGCCTGCTTCGTCATCCAGGTTGGTACTGTGGGATGCACTCTACCCATGGGCTTTGGACAAACACCTAGGGACAGCTGTTACTGTGAGGGTGGCAGACAACGACCAATGGGATAATACGGAATAATTTCAATTTCTTTTACTGAAGAGTGGTTTGCCTGTTTGGTGTCTAGGAAGGGACACACTTAGGGAATTATTGTCAAAGAACTGAAGGCAATTCCCATCAGCCTTTATAGCAATTTCTGACGTGTTCTTAGCATGTGGTACTTACAATAACTGCTCCCCAGAATGGATATCCTGTGAGGATCACGAGAGGAAATTTTTTGGAGAAAAAGATGAAATTCAATGCTAATATAATCCCAAGGCCCACAATGACCAGAGAAAGGAGAATCTGGGTGGCCTGGAAGGAGAAAATGAACATGAGGTAACAAGAGCCCAGGCCTCCGGCTGCACACTACCCCAGTACAGACATCTTCCATGTCCCCATCATGCTGAGTCCCTCCAAAATTTAATTCTTCACTCTGGTCCTTTACTATTTCCCAAGATCCCAGTATATCTTGTAGCAGACATAGTTGAATTCACGTGTGACTAAACCCAGATTGCAAACTTCTTAAGGACAGGTCCCCAAACTACTCCCTTACCCGCTTCCTCCTCTGTCACCCTGGCATCTTCTGGTTATCCTCACACTTAACCTCTACAATCGACAGTGCAGCCCATCCTTGGTTTGCATGGGAAAAGGCTTGGTCCCAGGACAAAAATCTGAGGATGCTTAAGTCTCTTACGTTAAAAATGTTATGTATAGATAATCTACACACATTTTCTTGTTTGTACTTTGTTTTCCCAGACCGGATCTCCTGCATGCCAAATTGTGCTCAAATCATTAGGTAGCATAGGGTGATTGTAATCACCTGGCTCTCCTGCCTCCACCTCCCAATGCTGGGATAACAGGCTTGCATCACCACACCCATCTCCTCCTGTATCCTTTAAATTGTCTCCTAGGGTGGTAGTATGCAATGGCCCATATACACAAGCACCAGAAGCCTTTAAGCATCATCTGCCTAGGAGTGAACAAAACACTAGAATGTAAACGCATGAAGTAGCTGCTTATTACACTGTCTGTGGAATGTGTCTAAGAAAACTAGCTGCACATATTCAACATAGGCATAATTTTTTAAAAATATTTTCATTCGGTGTTATTTGAGCCTATGCATCCTTAGACCTACACCTCACTGATGAACTTTGACCTCACCTTCCCTGACTTCTTAGTTTCTGTGAGAGGCACTGCCATAGCCTGGGGCCACTTCCTAAGAAGATTTTTGGAAAAATTACAGCTTTCTGCTTCCCCTGTGATGGAAGCCAGAGACCAGAACTAGCTCCCCATGAAAGAGCCATAGTACTTCCCTGGGGTTAGGTGAGTTATTAGCCTAGTCACTCCTGAAAGCTCCTTAATCCAGCACCTCAGAAACATGTCTGCATTGACCACTGAGAGTTAACATATAATTCCGACCAAAGGCAAACTGCATTGCCCTTCTAAAGAGATCTTTTGTTTCTCTATTTTAATCAAAATCCTTGGAAATGGCTCATGATGACGCTTCTCTGAGGATCCTTGGCTTAGATGTACTGCCTTTTCAGTTTTTGAATAGTTCGTACATGAATACAATGTATGTATCACATTAACCCATTACCTTCTTTTAGCCTGCTCGCATCCATACTGAACCTTTCTTTTCCCCAACTAATCCTTAATTTTCATGTCCTTTTTGGTAACTCACTGACTTTATTTAGAGTTACCTATATAAGCCGTAACTTATGTTATGGGGCTATTGATTGGAGCATGGGCAAAACTTATCAGTAGCTGCACTTTTGGGGAAAATTACTGATTTCCTTGCTGCCCCCCCCCCCACCAGCAACCATTATCTATCAATAGCTCTCTGGGGAGGGTGGAGACTAGTGAGCTTCCTTGACTGTAGAAGGATACTTTGCAGATGAAATGGCAGGGAGGAAGGAAGACCAACTCCCTCCCTGAATATGATGACACAAGGCCACCTCTGTAGACAAAAATGGAGATTTGGCCCTTTTCCTCCCTTCTGGGACGATCCATGAAAAGGCAGAACTCACCCCCAAAACTTTTGGCTCCCCCTTCAGGAGCTCGAGCAGGGAGTTATGAGGTTTGTAAGGAAAGGCGGTCAAGATGGTTTCATTTGGGTCTATAGTGATGACATGGCTCCTTCTTTTCTCCTCAGATGGTGGCTCCATGATTTAGCGGTAGAGCTGTGTTAGGAGAAGGAGTGAAAGGACATTGCAGCCGTAATCATGATGTATTTCCTCCCTAGGGCCACATAGAGACCTCCGCAATGAGCCCGTAGCAATTGCATAGTACTAGAACCACAGAATCCCAGTCATTGAGTCATAGAATCTGAGAATTCTAGAGTGTACCAGCCTTCTCAATTCTTATAGAGGAAGCCTGAAAAACAGGCTCTAGTATAAGCTTGCTTAAAAAGCGTATAGTAGGCACAAAATTAGCTAGATGGTACACACAAAACAAGTGCCTGTCTGTACCTGTATTAATATATATGCACACACACACCACACACACACACACACATATATATACATACATACATACATGCACACATATATTTCACAATTCTGCTCTGATACTCTCCCAAATACTAATTACAATTATACATGGTTTAGAATTTTTTCAGGCTAATCTTTTATATTCATGTGTTTATTATGATTTCAACTGCTAAATTGCTGAAGTAAGCAGTTGAATAAGGCCAAGGTCCCAATGAGGAGCAGAAGGAGGAAGAACATGAGCAAGAAAGTCAGGACCACGAGGGGGCACCCACCCACTGAGACAATGGGGCTGATCTATTGGGAGCTCACTAAGGCCAGCTGGACTAGGACTGAAAAAGCATGGGATAAAACAGGACTCTCTGAACATGCCAGACAATGAGGGCTGATGAGAAGCCAAGGACAATGGCACTGGGTTTTGATCCTACTGCATGTTCTGGCTTTGTGAGAGCTTAGCCAGTTTGGATGCTCACCTTCCTAGATCTGGATGGAGGGGGAGGACCTTGGACTTCTCACAGGGCAGGGAACCCTGACTGCTCTCTGGACTGGAGAAGAAGGGGGAGAGGAGTGGGGGGAGGGGGAGGGAAATGGGAGGTTGAGAGGAGGCGGGAATTTTTTTCAATAAAAAAATAAATAAATAAAAACTTGAAAAAAATAAAGTAAAATATGAAAAAAACCCTTTTTTTGTGGATTTCATATCATGTATCCTGATCCCACTCATCCTCCCCTTCCCTTGATTCCATCCTCTGACCTTGCAATCTCACCCCCAAAATAAAATCAAATTTTAAAGTAAAAAGAAAAAACAAAAGCAAACAAAATCTCAGTGTGGATACTGCAGTGTGTCACAGTGTACCCTTCAGTCCACACGTCATTACTTGACTCATTGCAATGAGTCAAGGATCTGGTTCAAAGCCTCTGGCTTCTGCTACACTATTGACACTGGACCTTCACTGGGACTTCCCTTGGATATCCTTTTGTTGTCCTGTGTGGTAGAGATCCTGATGTTTTGGATCTGTAGGCCTAGCCCCTTCACATGCTCCAGCAGTCCATAGGTGAGGTGGATATTGGGGTGGGCTAACTCACAGGCCTGGTTCTGGGCCTGGGTGGTAGCTGGGTTGGTCATCCCACCAGCCTGCCCTCATTGTCATCACCCATGCCATTATATTTGAATTAGAATGTATGAAATGATGGTGGTAATGGCAATGATGAGGAAAAGGCAGTAAAGGAGTGCACTGCTCTTTCAGAGGGAAAGACAATAAAGGGGTGGACTGCTCTTTCAAAGGAAAAGAAAGACAATAAAGGGGTGCACTGCTCTTTCAGAGGAAAAGACAATAAAGAGGTGCACTGCTCTTTCAGAGGGCTGGAGCTCAGTTCCTAGCACTGATATCTGGTGACTTATAACTCTAAGGGGAATCTGACACTTCTGGCCTCTGAGGCACATGCATTCATATACACGTATGTACACATGTGTGGGTGCACACACACACACACACACACTTGTTAAAAAATGAATCCAAGAAAAAGAGATCAGCTCTCTTTGTACTCTGCTTTCTGAGTTCTCTATAGATGTTAGTTGTCTTTTTTTTATTGCTTTCAGGCATGTAGGGGAATGATCTATGCTCTTACGCATTCCCATAGTTTATTTGGAAACCTTACATATTTATTTCAGTTACACATTTGTTTCTGGGGAGCAATATGGGAAGTTCTCTTTCTTGGGTGAGCAATGTTGATTTTTTTTCCAATCCAGGATTGAAGTTGCTATTGCTTTTCTACATCCAATGGCTTATTCAGTCTAGTACTTAGATGAGAGAGTGTACCATGATTAATTATAATCTTCAAATTCAAATAAAAAATAAAGCCAATATGTTGGGTCTCTAACTCAGTGGTAGAGTTCTTTCTTAGCGTGTGCAAGGTCCTACATTCAATACCCATTCCTAATATATGTGAAGTCATTAGTGAGACAGAAATAAGTCATTGTCTTGCAACAGAGTCTCACTCTGTACCCAAGCTGAACATGAACTCAGGGCAATCCTTCTGCTTCAGCCTCTCAAACCCTGGGGTTACAGGTGTGAACCATCATGCCTGGCTATGATCTATTATTATTTTTCATTGCTGGGAATCAAACCCAGGTCCTTGCACAGACTGTGACATTTCCAAAGGATGTCAGATAGTCTAGGGATGCATAACGTCTAACATTTAAGCAACAGGAATGTGCAAGCAGCACAGAGAAGGAGCCGCTCCAGCGCCATGACCTCGCCAGCGTCCATCACTATAGGACTGCACACTGTCTGTGCGTTCTCTTTGGAGAAGTTATGAAGTCTGTGGTCATTGTGGAATGTTGGGCCCTAGAATCTTGCTGACCGGACTTTGAGGAAATGATTTCCAGTGGAGATGAAGTGGCTCATAATGAAAGCACGACAGGAAAGCTATTCTTCAGAGGTTTATTTGGATCTCCCAAGGCTGAGATTTCAGGAACGTCCAGCTGTGCTCTGCCATGAGCACCGGTTTTCTTCCCTCTTCTGCCGTGTTTTCTACTCATGGCCTCAACGAACTGCTTTTGACAAGTTGATCTTGTGACTCAGGCATGAAATATGTACTCTAGGAGGATAACATTTATTAATAGATTGTAACATTTTGATTTTCAGGGCAGGGTTTAAAATGTTTTCATTTATTTTTCTCAAATACAATAATATAATACATATTATAGTACTATTTTATAGTAGTACGTTTGCAACTTTATCATAATATGTAATTGCTACAATATTAAGCAAATTTCACTTTCCATTTTCTCATCTTGTTGCTTTATAGTAACTTCGATGTTGACTCATAATTCCTTCAAATTATAACATTTTCTATCGTGTAGCGTTTAGGAGAAGTGAAAACAGTTTGAAATTATAACATAAAAGGCTAAGAGGAAGCAAGGGAAAGAGCAGAAAAGCAAAGAAAAGAGTAATGTCTTGGTAAAATTGCATTAGCCAGGGCTTGGCCGTGGAGACAATGTCAGTGTCCACAATAAGAGCAAGGCTGGATAAACTTTTATACTTCCCCGTGTAGTTTTTATAAGTTCTGGTTCATTCATGAAATTTCGTGAGCTAACTTCTAGAACCAGCTGGTTTCATGGGGTGAGACTCTCTATCAGCGCTGCTATCCTGTAGGCACTATCTGATTGTGTTGATATTTTGTTTGTGATTTAAGAAATAAAATTTACCTGAAGATCAAAGTGTGGAGCTAACTGCACTAGTTAGCCATAGAGGCCAGGCAGTGGTGGCACACACCTTTAATCCCAGTACTTGAGAGTCACATGTCTTTAATCCCAACACTAGGGAGGTGGAGACAGAAAGGGATACGATACAGCTGGGCAGAGAGAAGAAGATAAGGTGGGAGGAGGCAGGAGCTCAAGGCATTCAATTTGAGGATTACTAGAGATAGGATCTTGCCCTCTTTAGTCTGGGATTCAGTAGAGGTAAAAAGTCTCTCTAGTGGCTGGCTCCTTTACTTCTCTGATCTTTCAGCATTTACCATAATATCTGATTCCAGGTTTATATTTAATAAGACTAATCAGGAATGTGTTGCATCTGATCCCAGGTGGCCATTCAGTGAACACTTATTTTCATTATTAAAGTCACTTTCCATCTGATCCTTTGAGCCTGTATCATTGCAGCTCAGAGTGGGGACACAGCAGGTGTCCCAGAGATAACAAGGCACTTACCCCAGGCTTGTTGGAATAGACTTGCTTCCACCAAAAGACAGAACTGTACGCGGCTAGCAAAAACTCCATCACAGTGAAGATGAGCATCAATGCCAGCCCACTCTGAAAAGCAGCACAGGCCTGGGTGAGACCCCACACAAAGCCCTTGGGCCCTACTGAGAGGGGGTGGGGTGGGGCAGGGCGGGTCATTGAAGCCCTTGGCAATGGAGACAAGAAGGAGCAGAGACCATGGCTCAATCCTCCTCTCTACTTTCTCATTCAGATTTCTTAGTGATCAGAAAGAGATGAGAAGGAAGAGTGACTGGCCATTGGCTCTGCTGGTCTTCCCCCATTTTGTTTGTCCTTGGTACTTTTCACTCAGCCCATTTTCAGGTGTGGATTCAGATTTACTTGCCCTGTAGGGTCTTCCCTGGGTTCCTTCAGCGTGCAATTTCATGGCTCTGATTCTGAAAATTCCTCCAATAATTGTTTCTTCATAGTCTTTCTCCCCCATACTTTCCTATGAGAGCTTAGTCCATGTTTCCTGTCACTTCAGGGTCTGTGTCACTCCCATTTCTCAAATTTGATATGATCTCATGAGATATTTCCTCAGGTGCATCAAATCTGCCTTCACTGATCTCAGCTTTTAATCGCTAAGATTTTGGTATGGTTTCTATTTATCAGCTCCCCCGGTCCTTTTTATCATACTGTCCTTGTCTCATGTTTTGGCTTTGTCCTAGTCAGGGTTTCTGTTACAGTCATAAAACACCATGACCAAAAGTACCTTAGAGAGAAAATGGTTAATTTCAGCTTACACTTCCAGGTAGTGTCATTGAGGGAAGGCAAGGCAGGAACTCAGGGAAGGAGCCTGGAGGCAGGAACTGAAGCAGAGGCCACGGAGGGACATTGCTTATTGGCTTGCTCAGCCTGATTTCTTACAGCACTCAACAGGACTGAGCGTTTCCCGCAAGTTTCTCTTGTTTATCATTAC